GAAAAAGCAACACAAGTGTGTTGTTGGGTCACATTTATTGCCACTGGCGCTGAGGGGTGCAGCTAGAATACCCTATGCCACAATGTGTCAATGATTTGTTGATTGACAGCCCTGTTTCGTACGTGACAAAGGTGTTCGAGATCTCATTCCGCAACCTTGAAATGGCGCACTTGGCCAAGAGCAAACATGATCGCCATACGCTTCCCGGGCAACTCATCGTTGAAGGAATTGGCATGCCGAAAGGCGCAGACTTCGCTGGCACGCGCATAGCACTTCTCCATAACCATGGCAAAGTTCCGCACCACCTCAGGTAAGGTGCCATGCCTGCACACAAGCAGACCATGTCCATGAGAGCAATTGCCGCGCCACTTGCATGCAGCCCGTCCCTACACATTTTTCCATTCCCCCCCCACCCCCCTGAGTGCTTGTGCTGCCAGTGCCACTTCTGTCTTTCACGCAGCGCAATCCAGTGTTATAAGGGCGTTAGCCTACTTCCCAAAGAACAGATTGAATGCTCCGTCGAATGAGTGCCACTGAATTGTAATCTGTTTGGCCCCGAGATCACAGAAACACGCGCATCCTTGGTTGGAATGCTTGGCAGCTTTGCTTCTTCCTGCCTCCACCGACAAGGCCATGCACAGGCCGGCAATGGGCATGATCACCGCCATCAAAATGGTGATCTTCCAGTCCCTCGAGCAAGCAAGCACCTGACTGGACCGTCTGTGCTGAAGAGTCCGAAGAACAGGATACAACTGCCTCATGTCCAAACGGCTTTCATGCCACGTAGGGGAATTCCCTGTGGGGAATGCGCTTTTCACGTCTGGGAGGTTGCTTTTCAACTGTGGTGACGCTTGTGCAGCGACATGAGGCGCTTTCTTGACACCCTGGAGCCCTTCCTTGGTTTTGATGCGAATCACCTCTCCACTTAAAGTGGTGTCAACCGAATTCTTGAAAACAAGGTTGGCCTGTTCTTTCCGGGAGGATGAGGGCCTATGATGAATGAGCCTACAACGCAAGTCCCAAGATCAGCGCACAAATCCTGCCATCCCCTTAGGAGTGCCAGTGTCCTAGGTCATGCAAAGTCCCCATGCTCATAGCCCATCCTGCGCATCAGCAGCATCGGTTTAGATTCCTTCCTTCAGGTTGCTGCTACTGCTAAATGGAGCACATGCGAGTTTAGAAGTCTGACACATGCCACAATCAACACAAGCTACCGGAAAGGAAGCAGGCCCACGAACCACCTGCACACCTGAGCCCTCAAACGACCAGCAATTTCCGGCGCGAGTGCCTGCAACTGGCCACAAACATCTTAGAAGGCCCACACAGCTCATAGCGCCCACACTGGAAGGAACACCTGCAGCAAGCCGTGAGACAAAAGAAAAAAATACGCCTAAAACAAAGAACCCCAAAAGTATAGGAACTGGAAGGCTCAAGAAGGTGCAGGTCAAAAGCAATGCCAAACAGTCCCTAAGTGATCGAAATTCACCAAAAATGATCTCATTATTTGGGTTTAGCCATTGAAACCATCGCCACGGAAATGGAGGTTCCCTTTAAGGGCACATGGCTCGATCCATCTCGATCCCGCCCAAGGCGCTGTGGCGGACAAGGCCATGGCGAATGCCCGGGTGCAGTCGACCAGGCGCTCCCCAATGCCGTCCCGGAAGCGGTGGGTGTCCTGACGAACCCTCTACTACAAATGGACCAAAATGGGAAAACCAAAAGGTCAGATCCGGTCGATTCGCTTTGGACTGAGTTGAGTTTTGCTGACGTTCGCCCAGCTCCAGGCCAAAAAACAGAACATAGACAGCTCAGAAAGACCAACCCACCAGGAAAACTCACCACAGAGGTGTGGCTGCTGGCTTGCCCCCCTGTAGGCGCCAGGAGGTGGCTGCAACCCATCCGACCACGTTGAAACATGTTATCGCAAATGTACGCCCGTCCAGGACTGGATTTGTCCTTGGTTTGAGGTGCTTTTGTGTCAAAGGTAGCGAGTGTACGTATCGCATGGCAGATCATGGTAGGGAAAAAACTGTGAAAAAGGTGGGGCGTCTCTTCAGGAACACTGAGGAAGGCCCTGGAACAATTGCCACGCGAAACGCAAGCAAACGTGTGGATGCAACTTCAGTGGCATGTGAAGAACCCGCCCAACATGGCTTCCTGGAGTGCAGATCCGGGCATGAAGGAAAGCTTCTTTGCCCATGGGTCAAAATCGTGACCATCCCAATCCCCACCAAAATAGACTAAAATTTACTAAAACGGGTGGTGCACCTGCCCCAAAATGGTACCATTGGTTTTGACCCACAGCCCTTTTGCTTCTGTGAAGTATTGAGCAACCTGCACCCCGCCTGGACCAGCTGTGGGGCGAGCTCATTGGCTGAGTGGAGGTCATGCCAGCTGGGCCCCTGCATGAGGATCTGCTTGAAGTACTCCCGGCGTGCCGCAATCACCTTGCCGGCAGCTTACCAAAAATCCAACAAAGCAAACCGTCAAGAACTGGCAGGCGCCAACCCTCCAATTTGCTGAACTGCTTTTTGGCTTCTGGCAAAATGGCCCTCTCCCCATTTGCTCATCCACGAGTTCCAGCCAAATACGAAAGCCTAAAGGGAGTCAAACAACCGAACGCAGGGATATCGATTTAACTGCCTGGGGACGTTCCTGCCAGTCCATGGCTATGGTTGCGCATTGCACACACCGGACTCGTGAGCTGAGCGTTCTCACGACCAGCCTGTTTCAGCTTCACTTTGCACTCTTGGCCGTTGCTCGAACATGCAGCACGGATCTGAACAAGCGCGCGCACACATCTTGCTACAAAGCGCCGGAACCAACAGCCTCACGTGAACGAACTGCAGCAGGTCATTGTGATCTACTACATGCCGAGGGTGACTCAGTCAGAGATGTCAAAGCAAATTAACGCAACATACCCTCTTCATGTTCAGAGCTTCAAGCTTCCAAAGCATGGCCCGATAAGTGGTCGACTTCACGAACTGCATCTATATAGGTTGGACTTCCACTTTGCAAATCATCCAGCGCTTGGATGTCGAACAGCCAGGTTCGGCTCTCAAAAGGTGTGGATTGTCAACAGTATTGCGGAAACCATGTGTACCTGTCGTGGACACACGGTTGATGCTGCATCCAAACATGCTCGTATACACTTATAACATGTTGCATATATGTGTATTCTGCATATTATATGTCGTTGTACTACTGAAGCATGTTGAGCAAAAAAGGACTCAGCACAACCAAGCAATTGCACAATGGTACCCAAGCCTGTCGATCCGCCGCGTGGATGACCATGTAGCAGCCCCCCGTGCGCGCGATGAGGACGACCTAACGTGGCATGAGACACAGAAAGCACCCGCATCTCAAAAGGTGCATGGCCCAAGCCAGGGGCAAATGAAAAGTGTCAACCTTGACTCAAGTGACTTTCCTACATGGCACATTAGAGATAACGGAGGAGCGTCCTTTGGCAATTGATCGTCTGCCAAGGGGTGTTTGGTTGGAAGGTTGTCTTTATCGGGGGAGTGGCCTTCGTACAGCAAACACTTGGCCTGTTTTGCAACGAACTTGTCGGTGTCTTGGGCTTCAAGTCTGCTGGCACGTGTACCCTCCCCATACGTTTCTCCTGCCACTACAATATTTCGTGGCTTTCCTCTTGGCCTCGCAAACCAATCCAAAAAGGCCCACGCACACACGTGGAATTGTACCTATATACGGACCCCCCTTGAAAGTGGTGGACTGAGTTCACGCCGAAATGTCCACCAAAGCCTTGGTCCCTAAAACTTATAGCCTCCGTTTACCTGAGTGCCCGGGACAAATTGAGAAATGTCCAATCATGATCAGGGATCCTTACATGATACACCTGAACATTGCCTTGCAAATGGTGGCTTCCCTTTATTTTGGTGTTGCAAAAGCCATGTTTCAAATGGTTGCAAAATGTATCTTTTAAGGAGCCCTGATGATAAATTCCCTTGAAAGCCAACAGGGGAAAACAAAACATAAGGCAAAGCCATGTGGGCCAAGGGCCAATGCCAGCAGCACGTAGGTCATACCCACCTCCGCCACTTTGGCGTCCCGCACGTGATGGGGCGTGGCCACCGGGGGCAAGCCTTTGTTGACCGGAGTCCGGGATGTTCTACATATTTTTGCCAGGACGGTTCATCATGTTCCTTTCAGGGTTTCATGGAAAGAGCATGGGAATTTATTAGAATACATTGGTCTGCTTTGTTTGCTTCAACGGCGGCCATGGTTCCAAGTAAAGGGCAACCGTGCAAAATGTCGCCAAACGCTGCCCCAGCAGCTCCCATCGTCGTTGGGCATGTAGACCGCATGGTACAAGTCTGAAAGGAAGAAGAAGGCCATCGGCATGCAGGCGCCGTGCACGCAGCCCAAGAGACTGGCGATCACCGTGCAGAAAATGTCCTGGGCCAGAACAACGTCGAAACCATAGTTGAGGGATCCCTGAGGAAAGAACCAATGTGAGATTCTAATCCTTGTGACCTTGTCAGCTTAAAATCAGATTCTCGTGGTATCACGCAGGAACTGACCCTAACACCCTATTTCCCACAGACGTGGATGGGTGCGAAAGCTCTGTCAGCTGCTTCTACTGGGCCCTGCATTTACTGCACATGTATGAACACAGCCTGCACTTGTATACAGGCAGGTTCGATCTTACAGCAGGTGTCTGGCTGGATCAAGGGGCTCAAGAGACAGACAAGCTTCAAGTAACCTGGTCTTTAAGAAGTTGTTAAGACATTTTCGTTAAATAATGAAGGCGAAAAGCTCAACCTTGCAGAAAGTGGCCAAGGAACCTGCAAATGTAAGTCACGGCTTGAAAGCAACAAACCATCTGCTTGCCATCCCGCATGATCCCGCCCAGTGATATCTACAGTAAGTCTTATGCGCTTGGCCCAGGTTGCTTTTTTCCGACCCAACGAGCACACTTCCTTGTGTTTTCCAGTCAAAAAAAGAAGCGAGGCGCGCTGCCTCGGCATGCTCCCAATCCCCTCCCGACGCATCCAAGGCACCCAGGATGTGGCGAAGCGGAACAAAGATAGGAAGGGCGCCTTCCCCTGGCGATAAGCACTGCACATGCCCCCCCCCCGTCGCACCAGCCCCACGCCTGCCGCACCTGGAGCACTACTGGCGAGAAAGGTCGCCCGGAAAAGCGGCGGGAAAAGAGAAGGCTGGTCAAATTGTTCAGCCCCTCTCTTTGGTCCGAATTCAGACTTGACCTTCCTGCGTTCTGGTTTGTGGACGAACACATTGAGTCTCGCATAGCCCAGCAAATCCTCGCAATGGACATGAAAGCCGTCATAAACCCCAGCTGCAAGGGGCTGCCTCCTTTGGTTCCAAAGGGACCTGTCTTGGACCTGGTCAATTTGTAAATGGGGATCTCCAAGTTGAGGACGGACCACCACACTGGTCATTCACATGCCCCTGATTCATCAATCTTCAGTGCACGCCCCTAAGCGGGTTCCGCTGTTCCTCCAAAAACCAAGAACAATCTGACAAAGCGACTCCTGTCCAAGCACCGCCCGGATCCGCCCGGCCTCCTCTGTCGGCTTTGTCTGCGGCGGCGGAGGAACTTCGTCCCCGCTGCTCACAGAGACCGCGTAGTCGTCGTTCTGCATACTGCCTGCCAAGTCCGAGGAATGGATGCCACGTCCAAAGCATTCAGCCCTGTGATGCCACTCCTTCCAATGTTCACCAAAACACTTGTCACATCAAGTTGAAAAGCCTCTTGAGCCCGTGAGCGTGGTGCGAGATGTTGGCAAAGGGCTTTGAAGCAATCCGTCGCAAGTGATCGTTGGCGCCGAGGGACCCAAACCAATTTGACATCTTCTGGCTCAGGTTTTGCCCGCACCCTGTGTATGGTGGCCGTGCTTTGTTTCCAACCAAGGCCCTTCACCTCAGGGTAATTCCCGATGAAATCAATCTAACTCTTGAGGGAATCAATTCAATTCTCAGGCTGCCCAAAGCGGCTAGGAGAATCTCCGACACTTCGTTTCCAAATCACTTCAACCCCCAGGCCACCAAACGCAAGCGGGCGATCCGATGCTCTCCGCCCAATCCGACGCTTCAGATCTCAGCTGAGCCTTGGAGCGTGGAGGCATCCTCGATCCGGTCCTCAAAGCCCGCTTCCAGATTGTCACCTCACGGCTTCGTGGCCCCCGGGTCCCCGGGCCCCGTGCTGATACCGTGAGGCGAAGCAGGCGATGATACAGATGACTTGGGAGCTAAACATGGCCGGAGTCTAGTGGGCCATGTCCAGTACATAGAATTTGGCAGCATGTCCCTGGTCAGCCCTGGTGATATGGATCATGTTCAAGTTGCGTTTGATGCTCTTCTTCGCTATGCCAACGTGCAGTTGCAAGACCGAGGCTGAATTATCACGGCAAAGAGCAAGGCATTACCGGCAAAAGGCCGGCAGCTCCAGCAAAAAGCATGAGAACAAGGAGGAACACGCCGCACACTGAGAGCCAACCAGCCCAACAAATCAACTGTGTGAAGTGAACAGTTGGGGTTCTTAAAGCTACTGTCAACATCTGTCAACACCAGCTGGGATAAGGTGTATAATGTATTCTGCTGATCTTTGATGATCGTCTGCGAAAAATATCTGCTCGGCCTCGGAGGGTCCCGGCTTGCGAGATCCAAGGCGCTGAGGGGCGGTGTGGCGGTGGAGCTGGTGTCCAGCCCCGGGGAGCTGCCGCCGAAGCGGCCCTCCAACAAGACCTGCGCTGGGAACCGGACTGGCCGAAGCGAAGCTCGGGCCAGGGCTGCTGCGGGAGGGTGGGTGTGCCTCATCAACAAAAAGGAACGCCCCCCTTAAAATGGGGGGGGGGGGTTCCTGTTGGGTTTCCTTAAGCACCACGCAAAAAGCGTGGCACCCTCAACAAAGCCATATTACCGTGGATGGTGGCGAAATCCATTTCGCAGCGCCTGGAAACCAGGGGCAAAAAAAGGTAGTTGGTATTTACAGGGGAATCATCAGAAACCAGAGTTTCTTAGGTGGTGCAGGAGTTCGTCCATCCACAGTACGGTAGGTCTCACTTCCGAAGTGGATTGGCCCAACCAAGTCTGAACTTGTTGCCATTCAAATCTGTCCTCCCTAGCTTTTAACAACTGATGTTAAGACTCCTTGGGGATGGACTCAAAATCTCACGAATGCGAAGTCATGGGTCTGCGGGTCATTCCTCCGATGTCAACCAGCCGGTTGGCAAATGTCAACCGGCTAAACAGGCGAACTACTGGTCCCCAATTTCAGAAAAATGGGCTGTTTAAGGTGGCCATCGAAACCCAATGGTTGACATGGATCTCTCAACATCAACCCAGTCCAGGAGGCCTTCCACTTCACTTCTACTTCATCTGGAACAATCCTGCCTTTGACTGGCTATGCTTTACGCCAGGCATTTAACTACTGGTTAAAAGGCTTGCCTTCTTGTGCAAGCACAGCCCGGAACCTCCACCAAGCTTCTTTCCCATTCCAAATTCGCACATGTCTCTTCTGCCTTCTGCAAACAAAATCAAACAAAGCCCTTAACCCCCGCTGGCCCACCTCTTTTCAATCCCATCTTCGACTTCGTCTCTTCCCCTTTCCACTCCACCTCCGCTTAAACCGCCGCAAAAATCGCCGCAAAAATCGCCGCAAACCGCCTCGCCTGCTTGTCCTGGGGCGCGGTGAAGGTCCGGTGGAAGAAGTTCAGCGACAGCAGCGCCAGGACCAAAATGGAGCCCCCGGTGATGGGCAGCGCCATGGAGGCCCGCGCCTGCTCCACCGCCTCCTCCTCCATCCACGAGAAGCCCGGGAACTCGAAGCTGAAGCTCGAGGGGTTCCTCACCGGAAAAATCCCAAACCCTAAGCATCCAAATTGCTTTGGGGGTGTCACCGGGCTCCGGGGTGTCGGGGATGGCTCGCTGGAGCCCCACAAGCACCCGGGGCGTCGTCTTGAAGACCCCAAGCCCCAACTAGGAGGAGACGCAGGACATACATTTACTTGTGCAATTAGAACCACTTAACTACTAGACAGTCAACCTATTCGTTAGCCTAACTCATTTTGCCTTGAAAACCGACACAGAGTCTAAGTGGCCGTAAGTTGGCAATCATTCTGCTGGCGGTTCCTAGACTGAAAAACGAACCAAACACAAACGTGTATGTTCACAGTTCCAACACATCTTAAAAAAACATGACACTTGCAGTTTTGACTCTTTTGAACCTTGCAATGCCAGCAACAAAAATGGCCGCGCGAGAATTAGCTGCCACAAGGAACACCCCGGTACACTGCGTGCACTGCAGGGGCCGTTTTGCCAAACTGGGCCGTGCCAGAAGTCCTTGCAAAAGATCTGGGCGACGTGTTCTTGCTGTGCGCCAAGCTCTGGTGACTTGTGTTTGGCCGCTGGAAGGTCTCCCCTATTTCAACATAGTTTTGTTTACAGCTGGGATCAATGGCCGGCAGCTACTTCCACAGCTTTAAGATTTGCAGCACCATTTAACAACTTCAAACATGCACAACCAGTCCTTGTGGCTTGACATAGATGGGTTCAACTCTTGAAATTCCCAAGTTCGGAAGTGTCAAACAGTTCACCGGTTTGTAAGGATTTGTTCATGGCTTGGAACTACGATAATTTCGAAAACAATCGACCATGAATTATTTGCCGTTTTTGCTTGACAGAGTTGGGCTGACCAGTTGAAATCCCCAACTCCATATTTTGGTTTTGATGAGTTTAGATAGTCCCGATGGTTTGGAAACTTTGGCAACCCACACAGTTTAACCAAAACAACAACTTAGCCACTTGTGGCTTGACAGAGTGGGGTTCACTTTTGCAATCCAACTCCGGAAGTGTCCAACACATGCTTTTGTTGGCTGTCCGTGTTTTGGTGTTGTTGGGTTTCACAGGTGAACACCACGGTTTGGAGCATCTGGAAGCCCACAACAAAAGTCGACCGTGAACAATGTATCGTTGTAGCTTGACAGTTTTTTTTTCGGCTAAATTATTCAACTTATTTGCTTTGAACGTGTCAACGCATGGTGTTGGATCACTGGTCTTGGTTGCTTCATGTTGGGGTTTTAGTTCAGGTTCTTGGTATGATATTATATCAGTCTGTATCATTTTTTATAAGTCGAAGTCACATGTGGTATTAACTGAAAACAGATGCAATGAATCCGTAGATCCGTTGCCATCAGTGCATCAGCTGTCATCAGTAAATGTGTGTATGTAAGGCAAACTGACCAGTGACAACTGGTTCATTGTACCAGCCATCATCAGACGAGCTCAAACTCAACTGATGCATACTCGTATAACCTGAAACAGATGATGCACACTGAGACTCACGTGTGACGGCCGAGTTTCATAAACGAGCTCAAATCACAGTGACGACTAACCCCGACTGGTTGAGGGACGCCTGTTGTCAGAGACGCGTGCAATAAGTTTCATACATATTTGGATCGCCACTCCGCTGAGAGTGTGTACAATTAAATCACACTGCACAGCGAAAGAGAGCAGTGATTCAACGATTTGGCCCTGTCATGTTCGGAAATGGTCATTCCAAGGGTTTTGCCCAAATCAGTCAAGCCACAACAGCAAGGTGTTGATGTTTGGTTGTTTTCACGGGTTTCTAGATTTACCCCGCTATGGAATGTTTCTTTTGAACCCATCAACAACAACACATTGACAGTAAACAACAAACAACATGATATGTTTGACATTTTCAGACTCGGATCCAAGAGTTTAGCCCAATTTTGGCAAACCACATCGGCCATTGGTAGTGTTTGGTTGTGCGCATGGCTATCCAGATTCTCAAAACCATAAAGTTCACCTGTAAAACCCATCCAATCCAAATTAATAGTGAACTGTGCTCAAGCACATGGTTTGGCATTTTCGGAGTCAGACATTTCAAGAGTTCAGTCCAACCCTGTTAACCCACAAAGGCAAGTTGCTCGTGTTTTGTGTTGCGAAGTGGTGTTTTAAGTATTCCAAACTGTGGCAGTAGCTGCCGGCTGTTGATCCCAATTTTACAGGACGCTATGCTTGGACAAATGAAACCTGTCAACGGGCAACACATGTCACCAGAGCTTGGCACACAGCAAGACGTGTCGCACAGTGCTTCTTCGAGGATCTTGGTAGCATTTGCCTTGGCTACCTCTTGGCAGGGCCCAGTTTGACGAAACGGCTTCGGCAGAGCGCGTTGTTCGGAGGTGGTCTGTAAATTAAGCATGCAAACGGGTGAGCCAAGCAGCTTGAACAAGCGTGCTCAAAAGCAAACACAACCCGCAAAACCAGCCACCGTAACCATTGCATAGCATTTCGTAGTTGCTGCTTAAACTCGTCAGTTCTAGCTAAACGCGTGATTTTGCAGAACCAATACCGCGGACCAGTCACATGCAGCACGTGTAAACATGTGCATGCTGTTTTGCGCGCTATTCAAAGTTATTGCAAGTTCCAGATGGGCTTCGCCGCAAAACAATTAATACAACATATTAATAAGTCCAACCCAGGCAGAGTGAACTTAGCGGATGTGTGCGGAATAATTCCTAATATAGTATAATGTTATAGATGTCTTGTAAGCAGAGCTTTGGAGAGATTGTAAGTCCCCGCCAAAGTTCAGCGTCTCCTCTTAAAAGTGGAGAGTTGCAAGCGCAAGCTCCAAAGTTCAACCTTGTGAACGTGCCATGTGGCACCACCTACCGCATGGAAACCGCAAAGCCTCCAGCGTATTTGTTACTTTTGTCGGACTACTTGCAAAGACTGGCTACCACGGAGGCAGGACAAGCACCGCCCGACCCAGTTTGCTTGCAGCGGGTGTCCCGCTCAATGTTTCTACAGTTGCGCAGCATCAGACGCCAGATAACAGCTTGAATGCGTTGGCTCTTGGAGAAGGCCCTCCAACACATACACATGTCAGGCGCTCACAGCGAGTAATTATTAACATGGCAAAGTTTGAAGCTAGTGGGTTTAACTGCAGGCTAGGCTTTTGTAGTTTATACGCCGGTTTGCGCAGCACGTTGAAACATGCAGCTCCGTACCAACAACACTGACCACTGCGAGCTCGCCAGCCTTGTAGTAGCTGGTGGCACTGCACCCCCACACACAACTCTGCCTATGGCTGCTCGAACTAAAGTGGGCTTACACACCTCTTTTTGCTGCTTTCTTCGATGTGCACAAAATTGTGTTGGTCTCCCGGGCAAATAGTCACCAAGAATCGTTGCTTTAAACCTTTAAACTTGACCGTTTGATACTTGACGACTCTTTTGCTGCGCCTCAAGACACAGCGTTAAATACTGCAACACCAGGCTTTTAACAGGTGCATACAACCACATGTCCAGTCAAGGATGGGTACACGATGGCCAAAAACAAAGCGGCCTGCAGGGGCTTTAATATCCGCTCAGTTCGAACACTTCCACAGAACACCTGACAGGAGAAAACAAAACTGCACATCTTAGTATTGAAAGGCCGCGGAATGTTTTACAAGCTAACTAGGCATCGCAAAGGACGCGCGAAAGCAAGCGGCAGAACTCGTTCCGAGGCATTACGCCGGACCATGGTTTTCAACGCTTTCCGTAGATGTTCCGAACGTTGCGAGGCCTGCACACTGAAATGCATTCCGATGCTTTCCGATGCTTTCCGATGCTTTCCGATGGCCGGGGCGTCGCGGGGCGTCAAATCCCTGCAATTTTGACACCCCCTTTCCGACGTTTCCGACGCTTTCCGACGCTTTCCGACGCTCCCAAATGCTTCCAACGCTTTCCGACGCAAATGCTCGATGGCCCTCACGGCCCCACTAAGCAGAAACGCTGAACTTAGGGGACTTACAATCTCTCCAAAGCTCTGCTTACAAGACATCTATAACATTATATATATATATATATATTACGTATACATCCGCTAAGTTCACTCTGCTTGGGTTGGACTTATTAAGTCCAACTATGTCGTATATTAATACTTGCGCCGGCAAAGCCTATCTGGAACTTGCAATAACTTTGAACAACTCACAAACAAGCTGCACGCATTTTTACACGTGCTGCGCTGCAAGCGACTGGTCCGCGGTTTTGGTTCTGCAAAATGACGTATTTGGCAAACCAGAACTGACGAATTTGATCAGACATTGCCGGTGACTGGTTTTGTGTGTTGTGCTTGATCTTGCACGCAGTTCGCAGAAGATTCGGGCGACGCGTTCTTGATTGCTCCAAGCTCTGGCACCTTCTGTTTGCAAGCGTACTGTCCTCTACAGTTGGGATCAACAGCCGGAAACTATTTCCACTATTTGAAAGATTTGAATCCCCGCTTCGCAACACAAAGCACGAGCAACTTGCCTTTGTGGGTTAACAGGGTTGGGCTGAACTCTTGAAATTCCAGACTCCGAACGTCCCAAACCACGTGCTTGAACACCGCTCATTATTTATTTGGTTTGGATGGCTTTTACAGGTGAACTTTATGGTTTCGAGAATCTGGATACCCGCGCGCACAGCCAAACATCAACAATGTGCCGATGTGGTTTGACAGAGTTGGTCTAAACTCTTGCACCCCCAATTCTGAAAGTGTCAAACATGTCATGGTTTTTACTGTCAATGTGTTGTTGCTGATGGGTTTGAAAGGTGAAATCCGTGGTTGGGAAAACCTAGAAACCCGCGAAAATAGCCAAAGATCAACAATTTGCTGTTGTGGTTTGACTGAGTTGGGTAAAACACTTAACGCCATAGTTGTCGGGTCACTGCTCCTTTCGCAGCGCAATGACATCCAATTGTACTTACTCTCAGCGAAGGGGCAGTCCAAGCACGCGATTGCACGCGTATTTGACAGGTGTGCCCCAACCTGTTGTGATTAGTTTTCACTGTGCTTTGCACTGGCTCGGCCGTCACACCTGATCATTTGTAAGATTGTGTCAATTTGCGTCAGGTTGCATCAATTTGCATCATTATGTATCAGCATGTACCAGCTGAATTTGAGCTGGCCATATTTTTGCTGACACAAAAGGTTTGTTGTAACTGTCACTGTGTTCCTTACATACACATATACCGATGACAGCTGATGCATTCTCTATCATTCTCTCAGCTGTCATCACTTGGTACCACGTGCGACTGATGACAACTGATATAGACTGACACAAACTGATACTAAGAACCTTTGAAGGCAGTACAAGGCAACCAACAGCATGTATCCCAAACACATGGTTCTGACAAGTTTGGAAATGACCATTCCAGGAATTTAGCCCAACTCAGTCAAACCACAACAGCAAATTGTTGATCTTTGGCTATTTTCGCGGGTTTCTAGGTTTTCCCAACCACGGATTTCACCTTTCAAACCCATCAGCAACAACACATTGACAGTAAAAACCATGACATGTTTGACACTTTCAGAATTGGGGGTGCAAGAGTTTAGACCAACTCTGTCAAACCACATCGGCACATTGTTGATGTTTGGCTGTGCGCGCGGGTATCCAGATTCTCGAAACCATGCAGTTCACCTGTAAAAGCCATCCAAACCAAATAAATAATGAGCGGTGTTCAAGCACGTGGTTTGGGACGTTCGGAGTCTGGAATTTCAAGAGTTCAGCCCAACCTTGTTAACCCACGAAGGCAAGTTGCTCGTGCTTTGTGTTGCGAAGCGGGGATTCAAATCTTTCAAATAGTGGAAATAGTTTCCGGCTGTTGATCCCAAACGTCAAGGACACTACCAAATTCGGACAAAGGGAACCTTTCAGTAGGCAAACGTTACTAGCACGAGCTCGGCTCGCGCATTTCATTCAGACTGCTGTAGCTGCTGCAAGAGTTTTGCAGCTTTTGCCTGGCAAGCTCCTCACAGAAAATTGTTGGCAAGACGGCTCCTGAAGTGAATGGGTTGCGTTGCTGCTGCTGAAGTTTTGCTGCGTGTTCTCGGAAAGGTCATCTTCGTCTCAGAAGAAAATAGAGCGGGGTTGCTTGTGTAATTGCAGCTCGGTTCAATTTCTGAACGCACACACACGCACTCACGCAACGACACAACTCTTGTCTTTTTAGATCTGCTGTTGGGGCTCGGGGCAGCTCTAAAAGCATACGCGCAGCCAATATTGCCTAAACATTAAATGTTGAACATACTTCAGCATATATCTACAGCAAACAAAGTGCAACTTAGAGCATTCACAGCATGCCAACGGGTAACTGTAAATGCAATAAGTCCAAAGATGTAGAATGTCTTCTCTCTGTATAGCCACCGAAGAGACACACATATAACATAGATATTGACACTTGCCCTGCCCGTGCTCCAAAACTATGTGGTTGTCAACACTATTGACAAGCGCATTTGGGCATGGGTACGTCACACCTTGAAAACGGTGCACTCCATCATGAGCATGGTATGCGCTGAAGTGGTGCAAGAGCAAGTGTCCTGTGGTTTTTGCTTTGTTTGCTGGATGCATCTGTGGTAGCTTGCTCTAGTTTGCTCCTGTTCTATAGATGTTGGAACAGTGGGCTGGAGCTGGCTATGCTTCCTGTGTTCCATGAATATTCCCAACCAAGAAAACTGAAAGTAGACGGCCATGGCAGGGACAACGTCCAGCGACCTGGGGATCGTCATGAACATGAACATTTAAGCCGGTGGGCAAGGTGAAGCAACGTGTAAACTCGGGACATTCAAATGTCTGTGTGTGTGTTTGCGCAGGTGTGCGCGCGTATCGGTCTTCGCAAACATAGGCAAGGTCTGGGGGTGCCTCAATGGGACAAATTCCGGTCGCCAAGGGCGCAGGGCGCATGCAAAGCATCAGAAAGTCTCGGAAAACAAACTGGAAAACATATTATGTTGACAAGCATCGGAAAGCGTTGGACAGAAAGCGCCGGAGAGTGTTGGAAAACCTCGGAAAGCGACGTAAGGTGTTGGAAGGCGTGCAATTAGTGTCGGAAAGCTTTGGAAGGCATCCAAAGGGACGTCAGCACGGACAGGCCGAACAAATGAATCGTGAAGAGAGGTAAGCGCTGAATGACAAGGAGGGGCCAAAGCCCGAGGAGGGTTCAGAAAGGGAATGCTGATGCTGTAGCCAGAAGCCCAGCAGCAAGGAAAGTCGGCAGGGCGATCGACGGCCAGGCTGGCAAATGTTGGGAGAGCGTAGAAAACCATCGAACATCATGCACAAGAATCGGAGATGGCCGGAAAGCATTATAACAGTGATGGAAGCCGTCCAAAAGCGTCGGTTAAAAACGGGCGCTGCCGATTGAGTTCAAGTTCACGAGCTGAGGTCCGGGGCTGTAAGTTGTTTTGTGCGACCTTGGGCGAAGCATCCTTTGGGGTGTCTGTCAGAGGGATGGGCTTTGAGCCCGGGATTTGCAATGCGCAGTCCGGTGTTCGCATTGCCTCGCGCATGCCCAAGATTCTTAGGGGTGTGTGTGGTTGAGCATGCTGGTGCCTCTATGATATTCAGCGCGCTGTTTCGTTTCATGCCTTTTGCCACGGCCACACGCAAACCTTTGGGGCCTCGGGGCGTCAGCGAAGTGTCCCTGACACCCCCGGGGTCTCACAGGCATAGTATTTAGGCCCGGGTTGTGCATTGCACAGCCCGGTGTGCTCAATGCACACACCCAAGATGCTTAGGGAAGGAGGAAAAAACAAAAATCGGACTTCAGGGGAACCGAAAACTCCAAAGAAGAAGCAAAGACAACGACAAAAAAAAACGGCAAAAGGTCTGCTGGTTTGTTGTGAATGTGTTTGTTTTTTTTCGCGGACGCGGTAACATGGCGATGTCGTCGCATGGCCTCAGACCGGGTGATAGCTGGTGTTTTGGGGGTGGTTTGTGTACTTTGGTTTACTCGGGAGCGGTGTTTGCATAGATCCTTAGACTAACTTGCCAGCTGAGGGTCTTGATCTTGAAGGCCCCAAGGGCCGCGCGCCGCTGGAGCCTCAAGATCTCCTGGCCCATCAGGTTTTGGCTTCTCCTCTCACGCTCACTGGCGATGGCCAGCACCACGCCGTTGAAGAGCTTGTCGATCTGAGACTGGTTCAGACCTGCGTCCTGCGGTCCAAGTGGGGTTGCGTTGTCTTGGGTGCCCTTTCAGGTGGATTCAAAGAGAAACCACAAGAAAGACCACAAGGAAGACCACAAGGAAGACCACAAGGAAGACCACAAGGAAGACCACCGCGTTAGAGAACCCCCAATGTGCATACCCAAGTCCCAAACATCGCTTGCATTAGCCACAAACCACTTGCAAATGGATGGGGCCCCTCCTTGTTTTTGGTTTTGGTCTCAATTGGATTCTTAGCTCGATTACTGATGTTTAGCTAATGTGAAACTGCTCTTTTGGTCCAAACTTCTGGACGATTTCGAAACAGCAAGTCCCACTTCTTCTAAAAATGAAGGCTTATGCTGGCCCTTGATACCAACAAGTCGGGCGCCATGCTAAGGAACATGCCATTCCGCGTTGCAACTTGCATTTCACTAGGGAGGCTCCAAGCTGAATGTGGCTCCTTGCTGAGAATGCGCGGGCTCCGCTCTCAACTCCAATGTTTCTGGCTGTTTTCGTATGGGTGTGAAGTTTACTAGGGGGCCCTTTGGTGGTCACTTAGATGATGTATGTCCACCACTTTGGACGTGGTTCCCTATTAAAACTTCTTGGCCATATCCCCATCTCATGGACCTGACGCCCACCAAATGCTCCGGTCCTTGAAGACCAAATGCCTGGCCCGAATTGGAGGCTGAAATGAACGACTGAAAGCACCTGATATGGCTGTGGCTCAATACCGATGGTACCATTTTGGGGTAGGTGCACTACCCATTTTAGTCTATTTTAGTGGGGATTGGGATGTTCACTGGGGGCGCGCAAACCAGCCTAACCCGTGAAAAGCCAGGTTCAGGGCATGCCAAAACCTGCATTGTCCTGGCCCCAGTGTTCCATTCTGCAAGCCGAGCCCAGCATTGACCAACCTATCGAAACTGCAAGCATCTAGGGCTTCGCTTTCCAGGCTTGATTGAAATCGCGCGAGCCTGAAAAGGCATGCCCGACTGAGCTGGCCCAAGACAGAAACTGTGAGCAGACCCACCAACAAAATGCAAGTAAACAGCAAATTCAGTGGGACTGTTTGCGGATTTGGTGGCACCCTGTGCTTCCAAAGCTTTGTCATGTCCAACCATGCCTTAAATTAAAAACTTCTTACCGCATGGCAATGCGCGAAGGCCAGCCGGAATTGCAAATCTAGCTTATGCTATGACAAACCTTCTGGCTTCGTTGCCTTACACCAAACCCCGCATTTTTAGAAGGCTCTATAGACGCCATCTGTGCTATAAAAGGCAACAGCCCCCCTCAAGTGCCAGGTGAAAGGCCCAAAGGGAAACAAGCCCCTGCTTCTGACCGAGCACATGCAAGCCTTGAGGACACCAAAGGAACCATCACGCATGCTCTTAATCCACCAGTGAGCAACTGGCCAGCATTTGTCTTTGAGGCCGGGTGTGTGCTTGCAGTGGACCAGGAATTTTCTAAGCTTTTGTAGGTAGCCCCTCAGGGCGAACAAAAACAAAACACATTGGCCAAGAGGGTTTGCAGGATATTTCAGGCGACTAGCAGAATCACCTCAGGAAATGAGTTCCGCGGCCAACGAACGGCTCTTTGGCATTAAAAAATAAGCCCGAAATCACGTGCTGACACCATCCGACACCTTCCCAGTCTGATGCTTGCAAAGTTGCTCCAATTCCTCCAGTGCTCCACCATCGGAGCTTCCAGTCTCGAGCATTGACTTGCTCAGTGCGCTTCCCAAGCTCGCACTGACTGTCGCCACGTCCGTATCGGATCGCTCCTGCAAAGTGACTTTAACGCCAAAGATTTCCAACCAACAGCAGTTTTGGGATTGGCCACTGCTGACATTCGGATGGGCAGTGTCACTTGCATTGTGCTTCAACACTCACAGCCTCCGCCGTGCCCATAACAACCACGGCAATTTGTATACAGCCCAGCCAATTGAAGCATTGCATGAGCTTCAAAGCAAGGCCACATGTGAGTACGGTCTTCAATCTTCAGCAAGCATTTCACTTGAGCCGCAGCAGGACAGCATCACCAGTCTCCCAAGCCGCCTCCAGACCGCTTGGATGCCCTGAATGCTGCGGACCTCCCTCAAAAAAACATTTAAATGCACAACTCCGTTTCTCCACTCGCCTCTCAAGCTTCGCAGCACCACCTAGAAGTACTAAAACTGGCGAATTGGACCCCGTTGTGGTGTTCTCGTTCGACCTGGCAAGGTGCCAGGTCAAACCTTCCACCCACTTTTTGGTTGAAAGCCAGGCGCTTCAACACCTTAAAGGCCATGAGGCCTATCACCCCCCACACCCAACCCCCGTTTTTTCCCGGTGACTCTCACCCAACTTTCCCGTTAGCCGTGCGCTTCCACGCCCTGGGTCTTGTCACCAGGGGCCCGTTTGCTCCTTGGAGCTCCGGGCATGCATGGCCGCCTGGAGCGCCCCCAGGCCGCAGGTCGGCGAGTCCCTGCACGCGACGTCTTTTTTGGGGGGAGCTGAGATGTCCTGGGCTCGGGTGGGGTGCTCGGAGTAATGGGTCAAGTGCTAAAACCACCACAAAACCGCATGGATCTTAGTCTTTTGGCTCCATTTGCCGGGGAGAGGGTCAACAATTCACATGGAGCAAGCCAGTTGAGCTCCACAGCTGCCAAAGCGTGAGAGAACAAGGGGCAGCTTGCCAACACCAATTCAGTCGTGGTTGGGTATGGTTTGTGGGGGTGAAGAAGACAGCACCCTCATCCGCCAATGCTTTCAACTGGAAGATAGAATTATTCTTGTAGAAGCCACCCCCTGCCACGCGCGGAGTGAGGGTACTGTCTGTTTTTGGGGGTGGCCCCCTATGCCTCTGCAACCTTCTGTAGTCGAGCATACGAGGAGAAGCAGGTTTCACTTGTGCATGTCCAAAAACAGTGACAACTCAATCAATGCATCGGGCTCGTATCTAAGAGCACCTGCCTGGACAACCCAAGGGGACACCTCTTGCCACATCTGGCTGTCAAGCAGGACTTTGCCCCTGCAAGGTGACGCAAGCCACATGCAATTGAGGGATGCTGGCAGGAACATGTCTGGCAAGTTCATGTCCAACAGCTAGGGTTTTCTTTTTCACACCTTGCCGGGGCGATTTGCTCATCAATTTCAATTCAACCACCCAAGTACGTGCACGCGCCTGCACGTGTCGTCGGCAGAGAGGGCTACGGACAGAGGCTTCAGCGCCTGCCCATCTGCCTCCACGGGACGCAAACTCGCCAATCAAAACCCGGTACTCAAATGGTCTACCCAGAACCATGCTTCAAGAATCAAGAAGGCCGCAACTATTTCTGGCCGGGACTTTCCCTTACTAACCTTCATCTACCCGGGATTTGATTGTGGCTCTGGGCATGAGCGAATTTATACCATCCAACTGGTGGCTTCCTAGGGGATTCCTGGGTTCATTGTCTCATTGACCGAGTGGCAACATGTTCCTCCAGAATCCCTTGGAGCTGGGCAAGGCGAACCCCCCGCTGATTGCTTGGGCGCCAGATCCTTGGGGGGGTGGGGGGAGCTTCCCGGCACGGGTCTGCGCAAGCCCTGAGAACGCCTTGGGTGTCCAGTGATGCCTCATATAGCGTCATGTAGCTTGGCACGCTTAGAGGTGGCTTCAAATACTCTACTCTTCCTCTCCGGTAGGATGCAACGCCGGCCTCATCCAAAAGAGCGCTTTCCACCGTGGACAGTGATATGGATGTCAAGCACAGGAATGCCTTAGCTCATTCAAAGGCAGCTGTTGCTGCTGACAGTTGGCCGATTCAAGTTGTTCCAACAACACCCTGGCACCAAGCACCGAACCCAGCAAGCTGACAAGTGAAACCACCAAGTGAATGCAGTCAGCTGCTTTGTTTTGAACACACCCGACTATGAAAACGCGCCGGTACTTGAAATCAACCCCACGAAAATCACTAATTCAACCCCCCCCCCCCTCTATTGGGGGTAACCAAACTCCCTTGCGCCATGGAAAGTCTCGTCTGACGTCTTCCGGCCAAGGTGCAAACCTGGACATGACCTCAGCGGAACCGGGGTCACCGTCGGCACCTCTTGCGACAAGCTTGGCAGAGCTCCGAAAACCCAACCTTCGCTGGGAAGAAAGACCCCAGATATTTTTAACCAAAGCCTTAAAGGAGAAACTTGTGGCCACTCTGGACCCAGAACTGAATAAAGCAGCTGGCCCTTTAGCCAGCCCATCTCCATGAAGGGAGGGGTGTTGATATCCCTGGAAACATTGGACATCACCTCACCCAGTGGATCCTCACTCTGAATCCATTTGCGTCAAACGCTGTGAGAAGGCGCTGCATCAGCAACACAAAAGCCTGAAACACAAATCATAACATCAAGAGTTGCACCAATGGCCGGGCATGGAGGGGAACGGGGAGGGATATGCTGCAAACTTGAACAGAAGCTGCAAACTAGAGGCTACCACGATTGCATCGGACAAATGAAATGTGTGGTGCAGCCAAGCATCTGCACGAAGGGTTCGAAGGAATGTCTGTGCCGCAAGGGTTTCAGCAACAGAGTTCTCGAGCCGAAAGCAGCAGAGTTCCGGAGCCGTGGCTATGCACGGCGCAACCCAAGCTTTGCAGGTTTCTTACTTACGCCCCAAAATGGTCCATGCCAGGTGTCTTGGAAGCAACTGACTCTCGCTATTTTAGGTTCCACACACGAAGGCTTGGGGCTGCCAAGCCCCACTTAAATCAAGGGAGACTTGGAAGGGCTCTGACACATGAGCAAGCTTGTCAAGGCCAACACTGCCAGCCGATCACCCGGAGGCGTTCAGCGTGTTCCCTCATAAGTCTACTTCTATCTGGCGGGCATGCTGTTCTCATGCAAACGCATTGCGCGCAAAATTGCTCTGCAATGAACCATCCAGCAATCCTGTCACCTGTTCACCGAAGTTCCTGGCAATTACAATGCTTGCGGGCGCAGCTGCAGTAGTTCGGCAAATGAGACAGCTCCAAAGTCCATGGGGAGCTATGTCTGATTCGACATCCCAACCCCAACAGCAAACGCTATCCCAATTGCATGCAACGCACATATCACCTGCAGGTCGAATCTATGTTAGCCTCCCTTACGATTTAACGACTCCATTGTTCCGAATGCGTGCTCACCAATGCCCAGATTTCAACTCGCATCATTTCAGCTTGCGGGTCTAGAGAAAGGGCGGGTGTTGGCAAAGGTCACAGAGCCATTCTAAAGGTTTACACGTTCAAGTGCCTCAAGACGGCGAGTATGGCTCACCTTTGCGTTCCATGGGAAACCGGACCTACATAAATATTGTGACCGACTGACCGACTTGGAGCAGGACACTTGCATCGGAATCAAACCTTGCTGGGTTCCCATGTGTCAAATATGCGCCAGCCTTTTCCCAATGGAAGCCATGCTGACGATCCCACGGCGCCGCGCCTGGTTCAGCCAGTTGCTCAAGGCCTTCTGATCCCAGTTCTGAACCTGCCAACAGCTTCCACTCAACCTCCTCGCGGGAAGTAAGCAAGCAAGCGAGCGAGCAAGCAAGCAAGCAACAAACCAAGCAACCAACAAACCAAGCAACCGACCAACAAACTAGCCAGCCCACCAAAGAGCCCACCTATAGTTTCTGCTGAAACTGTGTCAACATGCTTCAACCATGTGCTGCACCTGTGCCATTGGAGCCGTGAGCATTCCGATGGAAGCCTCAAAGGAACAAGCGCCACAAGAAAGATTCGCGTCCAAAAGAACGGAATCTAAAGATTGAACCCTTTTGGGGTCATGACTTGAACATGCGCTGCACAAAAAAAAAGGGAAGGCAGCAGGTCAACCGCGGTTGGCTCAAAAAACACACACACACACACATTCGCTGCATCTGGATCTCCCTCGTTCAAATATCCGGATATCCGGCTTGCACATATTTCACCACCTTTTGATACCCTTTGAGACCTTGCCACTTTGGTCTCACAGGTGAAACGGTCAAATCGCTTTGGATGGACTGGTGGCCCCGCCTTCTTCTGTGGGCTCACTGAACCGCCTCAGGAACATGGAATTCTCGCGCAAAGGTTGATGGATTCCACATGCGGCACGTGACAAAGTCGCAATGGACATATCGGCTTGATCGTCTTGCCCTATGTTAAACATGACTGGGTCAAGGAAGCTTCAGTCAGGTTCCATGTCATTTTTTTGGAAGGCAAGCTGATGAGCCTGCTTTATCTGGAGTACAAGGAAAACAACAGAAAACCCACCAGCTTGTTTTTCATTTTTTCTTCGGCCCCCTATTTTCAGAAGCAAGAAAAACAAACACGAGGACATCGGGTATCAATTTGATGTCGGTGTTCAGATGTTCATTCAAACTGCCACATTTGGAGACTCCCTTTGAAGGGAAATGACCTGGACACCCTGAAAAAGCCCACGAAGGACATTGACCTATGGGTGCATGTGTTTGGGAGACTCCAAAACTATTATCATTTTAGTGTCCCTTTTTCAAAAACAAGACCAAAGAAAGGGTAGCCTGAAAAAGTACAAAACACGGCACACTACCAAACACCAGGAATTTCCCCACGCCGCCGGGCACATCTCTTGGGCTCTGGCGGTTGATAGATGTATTCTTCAGCTCGCTGACCTTCATCCCCAGGTCGCTGGTGGCAAGGTCATGGATCACCAGCTTGGCCTGGCGACGCTGGGTCCTACAGCTGGGTTGCTTTTTCCCCAACAGCTGAAAGCTTTGGGGTCTCAGCCCAGATAGGCTCCGGGGTGGTCCGGGGCGGCCCTGAGGTAAGGTTCCACGAGGGTTCCACCAGGGTTCCACCAGGGTTCCACCAGGGTTCCACGAAGGTTCCATGAGGTTCTGCGAGGGCTGCGGGGTGGTGCTAGCACTAAAGGAGCTCCGCACGCTGTTGGGGATATCACCTGAGCTTATTTATATTTTTTAAACAGTGCCCCCCTTTCCAGCACAGCACATCTCCCCCCCCCCAAAAAAAAAGAAAAAAAACAAACAAACGGGAGGTTGGCGTTAGGCCACCTGCAAAAAGCTCAAGTTGGCTTTTGCCAGTGGTAGTGGACAGGGGAACTTCGGAAGGATCAATGAAAATTCGGTGCTATGAACCCCCAGTCGTTGCTAGGATCCGCCGAAAATGGACTTGCAAAGGAAGACTAAAGCAGGGCTTGAGTAGTCATTCTGGCTTTGAATGAAAGCTTCCTGTTGCGAGCACCAGTAGCCCATGGGGAAAAAGAGCATCCCTTTTTGGTTGGTGGAGTCAGAAGGGCGCCACTGGGCAATTGACTTCGGACTTCAGAGATGTTCGGCTCGCCTGCAACAACTCGTTGGGATGAAGATCTGGCCTTGGCTTCCAAGCACATGCCTGAGTTCGACTGCGGCACGCATGCAGAGTGATTTGGCTGCTCAAAACATGGCACACACAACTTTTTTCATCGCGAGTTGATCAATGGAAACAAGGGCCAAGATTGCGCAACTGGCTTTGGACTTTGAGCCACGGCGCTGATTTCAGGCGCTTTCGAATGGCCCAAACCCCCTGGTTGGCCCTTTGCCAAAGCCCGACCGCTGGGCTTCTGGCACGGCGGGCGGCCGCAGTTCTGGCACCTCGCATCCAAACTGCGCCCATCGAAGCCACGCTTCAGGTTTCCGAACTTCAGCCGAGAGGCTCGGGTTGAATCTGAAAAAACACGAGACATGGGTACATCTTTCTTGAGGCTACGAAAACAACTAACACATCAACTACACCAAACCCACCCCGTCTCAGTGTTTTTACGGTCCAGCGCCTACAAGTTGACCAATCTGTCCTCAGATTTTTAGTGGCTTCCAAGTCTCCCTGCAAGGAGGCTACACTTTTTGCTGGCTCAAGTCACAGAATCCTTCACGGTTCGCCTTTTTCCAACTCTCCTTGCCTTGAGCAAGGCCTCTTCCATGTGCTCCACGAGGTTTTGCGCCTGGCCAATGGGATTTGCCACCTCCTGCCTGGCCGATTGTACCTTTCAGCTTGGGCCAAGAGAAAGGCCACTGATGGACCCATGCCATGAGCTCGACCTGTAAACTGGGCTGCCCTCAGATCCCCCGCGAAAAGTTTAACTTTTAGTGGGTTAAATCGAAACTACCACTAACCTCTAAAAGGCTAAAAGGCTAAGGGGATGGCTGGGAGCCACCGGACCAAGTAAAGCATCACCCAAACAAAGGCCACTTCCGAGCTCCATCTGATCCCAACTGCCTTGGCGGAGCGTTGGGGGGTATGTCACTGTTGCAAGTCTGCGTGACAGCCCTCCCAACAAAGGTGTCCTCATACGAAGGCCGTGTTGCTGGCATAATCTGTTTTCAAGGACGGATCTAGGAAAACAGGGGCCTTTTTTGTTGACCATGAGTGGCTTATCCGTTTGGCCAAAAGGGCCAAGGCGGATAATTCCCTTGGTGCCTTTTTCTCGGCTTGGCCTCCGTGTTCTGCTGCATCAACTCCTTCTCAATCTTGGCTTGACGCTCTCCGCGTGTTTTCGCACCTGCAAATCATCAGCTCCCGGAGCCCCTGGCTTGCCATCGCCGGATTCACTAGGCCAAACTGTAAATGTGCACTCTAGAAAACGGGTTGCATGTGGCGAATCTGTGGATCCACCCCTGTTGGATATGTTGTGAGAGTACTAAAAAATCTAGAAACAACAAGGGGAACACAGGTGAAATCCACAAAAAGGGCATCCAAGCCGTTGTTCTAGATACGCGATAGCTTGCTCCACTGCTCTGTTCAAAAGTATCATGTCAGTATGACATGTACCCGATTGTGTCCAATGAAACAAACGCAGCCCCTTCTCATGCGTCTTTTTTCGGTGAGAGACACAAAGCAACCAGAATTGCAAACACGACATATCCAATGCCCGAGACGCAGCAACAACAATCTGAACTGCTGCCTCCATTTGCATCCTACACCACACCCCGCGTCCACAAGTGAACTGTTTTTCTGTTGTGAAAGGATCCTAACCCCCCGTCCCCGCCCCCCCCTCCCCTTAAGTAGGCACCATGACATCCATAGCATCACTTGG